ATATGTGTAGTTGGATACGAATTTTTTTTTTTTCATGAATCGATAAATCCCAAAAAGATAGGGGGTCGGGGTTCTCCCGCGAGAAAATTTTAATTCCTAGAAGGCGGGAAATGAGTTTTCCCGACTTCTGAGGTGTCTTAATTACTTTTACGTTCTTTAAAATTCGAGGTTTTCCCCTCTTGAAAACGGTCAGGTAAATTTATCCCATTGTTATTACAGTAGACAGGCCTTATGTGTGTATACATATAGTACATTAAAAATAATGAGTATTTGCATACGATTTTTTTCCATGAACCTATAATTCCCAAAAAGAAAGGGGAGTCCGGGGGTTCTACACAAAATTTTGATTCCTAGAAGGCGGGAAATGAGCTTTCCTGAATTCTGAGGTGTCTTTTAACTACTTTTAAGTTCTTCAAAATTCAAGGTTTTCCCCTCTTGAAAATTATTATAATGAATCAATGAATCCAAACAGAAAAGGGAAGTTCGGGTTCTTCCCGGGAAAATGTTAATTTCTAAATGGTGGGAAATGAGCTTTCCCGACTTCTGAAATATCTTATAGCGATTTTAATTTAAGTTCTACAAAATTCAAGGTTTCCTCTCTTGAAAACTTTCAGGTAATTTTTTCCCAAAAAGAAAGATTCCTAGAAGCGGAAATGAGCTTTCCCGACTTATAAGGTGTTTTTTAATTACTTCTAATTTCTTAAAAAATCAAGGTTTTCCCCCTCTTAAAAATGATTCAATAGAACCACTGAACCCCAAAGAAACAAGGGGTCCGGGTTCCCCCGGGAAAATTTCGATTTCTAGAATGCGGGAAATGACCTTCCCTGAATTCTGAAATGTCTTTTAAATGAATTTTTAAGTTCTTCAAAATTCAAGGTTTTAACCTCCTGAAAATGGTCAGGTAAATGTTTCTCATTTTTTATTTTATGTGTGTATACATAGGCCTACATAAATAAATGAGTAGTTGCATGCGTATTCTTTTTTTTCCATGAATCGATAAATCCCAAAAGAAAGGGTGATCCGGGGGTTCTCCCCCGGGAAAATTTTAATTCGTAGATAGCGGGAATGAGCTTTCCTGACATTTGAAGTGTGTTTTAATGACTTTTATGTTCTTCAAAATTCTAATTTCCTGATTGTAACAAAAAAAAAAAAAATCAGCTCACGGGTCCTGAAAAGGTAGGTCTAGAATTTTTTTCCGGTCACACAAAAATCTCCAGACATTATTTTTTGCAAAAAAAGTGGGTGGGGGGGCCCGATTTATAAAAACGATAACAATTTCTCTGACAATTGGTGAAAATTTGGTTTTGATATAACGTGTGTGAACGTTGTGATTTCGTTCTAATTATACATTTGTTGAGGAGTCTTTGCGTACGTTATTATAACGTTTTTATATCGTTATGGTGCATTAAATCTGCAAACAAAAGGCAATATTACAGAGCGACGTTTTAAAATCGTTTTTAAAACGTTTTATAAAAACGATAACATTTTTGATGAAAGTTGGTGAAAATTTGGTTGTGATATATAACGTTGTGTAAACGTTGTGATTTCGTTCTATTTTATGCACCTGTTTGTAAGTTTATTTGCGTGCGTTTTTTGAATGTTTTTTTAACGTTTTGGTGCAAATAATCTACAATCAAAAGGCAAGGTTTACACAGCGACGTTTTAAAATCGTTTTTAAAACGTTTTATAAAAACGATAACAATTTTTGTGAAAATTGGTGAAAAGTTGTTTGTGATATAACGTTTACAGAACGTTGTGATTTCGTTCTATTATTTCTGTTTCTAAGTTGTTTGCGTATGTTTTTCTAACGTTTTTTTTAACGTTTTGGTGCAAAAGTCTCTTATCAGAAAGCAGAATTATTGAACTTGCACGTTTTAAAAACGTTTTGAAAACGTTTCACAAAAACGAAACCCAAACTAAAACCAATTCAAAACGTTTTTTTAACTTTTTGTGTAAAGCTGGGGTGTATTTATTGTCACAACCAACCGTTGATTATGTAGGGCCTAACTACGTTGTCAGTTAGCATCAAACACACACACAGTCAGGTAAGTACAGTATTTACGTGAATTGAGTACTTAATTCACTGACGCGTTACTAAAATTGATCAGCATGGTTCTGCTTAATATGGTGGGTAAAGCCGACCTCCTAAGGAGTCGAAAAGTGAAGGACTATGGTTCTTAATAGGCTGACCGCGGGCCAAATTTAGATATTAAATCTGGCCCATGTGAAAAATTAAAATTAAAACAAATAATCAAATTATATCATATCATTAATTTGTAAAATAATTTATAAATTATAAGACAAAAATGCAATTACCTATTTAAAAAAAAAATAGGCCTATATATAATTAGCAAATGTCAAAAGAATAGAAGGTTATTATTTTTAATGTATTTAATCTTGAATTTTCTAATGTTTCTTGATTAATTTTAATTAATTATTTTAAGTAAAAAAGAATTTGTTTCAACTTTATCCAAAGAGAAATTTCTGTACTTTGGGAGAAACAGTTTTTGTCTTCGGTTTCAAAATGCCTATTTACTTTTGAATTTTTATTTTCAATTGTAAGGAAAGATCACGCGTGTGAACATGGCTCCTATTGTATAGAAGATGAAAATGTGCATGTTAGGCTTGTACGCAAACCTGTGTATGCAAATTTGTCTTAAGTTAATCTGCTATCAGAAAACGCAACAGATTAAGCAGGTTCTAGCTATATCTGAAAAAGCCTGGGAAAATTTGTTAACTTAGTAGACTAAAATTCGAGGTGGTTTGAGGCTTTACTTTACAGATAATAGAATTATGGCGGTGGCTACTTGCCACCTACTAATTTTCCCCACGGATTTTGTTTCCACCTTGAGATTTTTTCACGCCCACCCCCCGGGCTATTTCCCCCATTTTTTCGATGTATTTTTCCTCCTAGTTTTCCCATTGATTTTTTTTTTTATTATCAGGTTATGTTCATTCTACTTTTTAAAGCAGAGAATAATTGTGTTTTTTTTAATTTCATGTTTTTTCTATATCAATTAATTATTGTCTAGTCGTTGTAATGTTTCACTATAAAGGTGTGTCGATAATACAAAAGCGTTATTCAATCAATTGACTAATTGACTCTTGATGCATTCGCAATACAGTACTGATGAAGCCTAAAGAGACATTGTAAAAACTTAAAAAAAAAAAGCTTATATCCAGGTTTACATACGACATAGAGGAAAGAAAACACGATATCTATACAACATTTGCTCTTCTGAAATTTCGATAGCACGTCTATTTCCTAGTCGTTCTATATTATAGGCATGCCCATATTTGTCTGCATCAGCAAAACAAAACTGCGGTAAGTAGCTGAAATATTATTTCTGTACTTCTACAGTAGCCTACTTTTGAGGTAGTGCCCATTAGTGATTCTCTTCTACGCTTATTACGCCTACTTTTATTTTAAATTATCTGTTGCGATTGTTGGTAGCATAACATGATTTAAAATGCTCAGATCGTCGGAGCGCCACGTGGATTCGCCACCAGAACCCCCAACGGGCTCTAACCC